GCTTTCCAGACTTGGTTGTTAAAATGTCCTTACTGGTTGAAACCGGGATGTACATCGTTCCCGACATCGATTATTTCACGATGAACTGCTTCACTTTACAAACAACAATGAACACTCTCGTTTCAAATCGATATTGGACGAAGAAATTTCACGCAAAAAAAAAAAAGAAACTCCTCGGCAATCCTACTTCCAAGGCGAGCGAAACAAGACTTCTGTGCCTTGCACAATAAACGCTGAAAAGTATAGAGGACGGAAATTAAGCACTCGATAAGGAAGCATTAAAACATATTCATTATATTGATTGCAACCTTTACATTATTCACGACGTAAGCGTGTTTTTGCAAAAAAAAAAAAAAAAACTACTTTCGTAAGAAGGCTAGCAGCTGACATAGCGTTATATGTTCAATGAAACAGGAAATACACAATGTCCCGTATACTTACATAAAACACCGTTAGATAAATATTTAGTAGATTAAATTTAACTAAAAGTTTGAATACGAGAGACAGACGGTATTTGAAATGTCATGAGATAAATTGTAAAAACGATCTAGGCGTGAATTTTGAAAAATGAGAAATTTAATCCTTTTAAGGGAGAATATCTATATCTTGAAGAATAAGATTATTCGGAATTCAATGTTAAAAATATTTCCAATGCCGAATTCAAGGCGTGTTAATGAAATCTATTCTTCATATTTTGAGGATCATCGTTAAATTCAGATATTCATTTAGGTCATGTAAAAGAGATTGAAATATTGTCCTCGTTTACTCTTCTCGAGGATCCAATATTTGTAGTCCGAGATAAAGCAATAATGTAAATAACGTTTGCATACATGTATCAAATTGTACCGGACAAAATATTATGAGCTATATTTCCAACCTTTATATTTGTATAAAACTCGCCGCTCGTTTCTCAAATGACATAAACTTCTGAACAGCCTTTCTGAGAAGATAAAACGACCTGCACATTTCCCTCGTTAAAAATCACGTAAAGAGCAGGCAGATTTATTAACGAAAACATGCGTAAAAAAGTATCTAATAAATGATAATAAATGATACATCCAACGGATC